TGGAACAAACTTTTTAAAGACCTATCAATACCAGGAGAAAATAGAAAAGAAGCACAGTCATAGTTGGCAAGTAAAGATATGGGAGGGCGAAGAGAAGTACTGTATCACACACTCAATGTTCTTACTCTAGTAATGGCCAAGATTGTGATATTCCACCAACAGGGTGGCATTTTTTACGTCCTCTAAAGGATTTAATACGCTTCTGTGATGGTTCAGTGACTGAGGTAGGTGAATACAGAAATAAACGTAACTTCCTGTGACTCACATGCAGTGATTAGTAATTCTCACAACCTTGACCAAACCCCCAAGGGAGAATAAAGTCACTGAAAAGTGAGAGTACAGAGGAAGGAAAGGAGGAGTGTAAATGGAACACTATCTTTCTTCATGTACAAGCATGAAAAGTCACGCAAAGCAAATATGGAGAAGAGTCTTTCCAAGCCAGAAAGGTGCCAGTAGCCAACTATCAGCTGACTACAGAACATGGAAGCAAGGAAGGAAGGAAGGTGGTTCTTTTCAATGCAATGAGAGGTACGGCAGAAGTGAAGAAGGAACAGAAGTTGCTGGTTGAGCAGAGTAAGTATGTGCTGGCATGAGCACCCCCTCGTAGAGGTGGGAACACGCTCCTTGAATGCAGGGAGTAAAGATACAAGTCTAATTATCGTCCTAAGCTCTTCTATGCAAACCCTTGATCTGTTGGTAGTTTGAAGTTTGTCAAAGGGTGCAGTTCTTAGCCCCTTGATCCTTTACTACTTTGAAGATCACAGCGGAAATTGGGATATATAAATATAGCTGTTTTGCTGAAATCGTCGAGTGTTTTATGTTTTTTTTTTCTTTATGTTCATGTGTTGACACACAAATTCTCTAATAGTTTCTCGCTTTCAAGTGGTTATTTAACTGTATTACCTGCGGTTTTTCGGTCTGTTTTATATAATAGAACTGTTTTAAAGCTAATTTCATGGGCATCTTAAAACCTTTCAGTATCTTTTGGGCTTTAACAATAGCACTGCTCTGTAAAAGCTGGGAGATTAAAAGAATTCTGGTTAGCAAAATGTTAACCTCCAGCACAAGCATCCCACTGTTTAAAAAAAGTAAAAGAAATTAACTAATGAGATGGCCTGTTAAGAGTAGATTTAACACTGCCGGCTTTATTTCCTTGTTATTTCTCTGTGGCTAGAAAACAGCAGGGAAAATGACACTGCCTCTCATTTGTTATGGCTTTCCAGAAATCCTTGTGACTCTGAAAAAGGAGAATTCACTTGCATGTAAATAAAGCTTATTGCCTTGGGAAGCAGGATCATGACCAGTGTTTATTTTACTTAGTACTTTAACGCCATGCCCAACAGTGGGTTCCTGATGGTATGTTCAGGCATCTTGACTCTGACAATGAGCCACGTCAAACCAAATACAGTCCTTTGACTCCAAAGTGCCTGAACTCCCTGTTAACAGTGTAGCTCTGCATGCGGTAATTGCACAGCCACACAAAGGAGTTAGGCTAAAACGGCGTCTGGGACTGCGGATTTGACACTTTGGGCTCTTGAGCACTGATTTTTATGTTTCCTCTTTTCCATAAAGAGGCTCCTGTAGGAAATACAAACTAAAAGCATATGCAACTGTCAAGTGATTGTGATGAAAAGCCAGACGGGTTGCTGAATCTGGCCTTTCAATATTTATTATTGCCAGGATGCTTTTAAACAGCACTTCAGCAGCAGTTGAAATTATTCCAGTGTAGTGCTTTATTGTAGCACATATTTATAAAATGAAGTAAAAGATTTTATAGACTGTAAGATTAGATTTAAAAAAACCACTTTGGTCCCTTTTGGAGAAAAGACCCTCTAAGCCAGGAGGATACATTTTTTGAGTAACAATGGTAAAATAGAACGACCCACACTTCTTAAATGAAGTGAACCTGAATTTCTTTATAGAGGCTTGCTCTATTTGTGGATGTCAGTTAAACAGGATCCTAGTTTGCTGTGTGTATTTCTCACACTGTTGTACCTCTAAACCTCAGAGCTTTGTGCTGCATTAGTTGAACTGTTTGCTTTTTTCTCTCCCACTGTGATTTACAAACCTCCCTCTCTCTTCTGGGAGAGAAGGGAAATTGGGTATATTGAGAATAAAGAATCCAGCCTGGTAAATAAGGTATTTCGGGGTTTTGTTTTAAATGTCCACTCAGATGCCTGCAGAAAACCACAGTGACCTTGTTGGTGGCAGACTAAAGAATATTCTAGAGACAGCATGTCTAGATCACTTCAGCCTAAAAGCAGGGCATACAGCATAACTAGTTCCCTAAGAGAAGATGGAAATGTGGGCAGTAAATAGTTTTTACTGCCAGATGAACTTGGATAATTCTTATGTAGATGGGACAGGAAAAACAAGATCCAAATGGAGGGATACTCTTACGATATTTGGAGTCGGGGAGATGCTGGAGGAAGAAGCACGCTCACCAGGTCTCTTCTGTGTCTATCTTCTGCTGCGTGCCATAAACAGAGGGGAGTAATAGTGCACTTTAGTTCCATTGAGCTAATCATCCTTCCTGCAGGAGGGGGCTGATAGCGTGTGCTGCTTATGTGGGAAATTGCCAGCACGCATATACTTGATTAGGCAGCGTATTATGAATCAGGGTCATAGCTGGAGTAGTTGCTTTGTTCAGAGATGCTCAGATCCCTCGGGTAAGCAGCTAATTGCAGGAAATCTTTTAAAGCAAATGTGTGATAGGAAGAAAGCAATGAATATTGTTTAGTCAAAAGACAGGAGTGGTTCCTTTGAATCGGTTCTCTTGCATAATTATGTAATTAGGGCATGTCCTATTTTTAATTAAATCTCTTGAATATTCATGAAAATACTCTGAACCTGTGTACCAATTGGCATGACTTATTTTTAAAATGCAGTTTGTATAAAGGAATGCCCTTCAATCTTTTTTTTTTCCCTTTCATATTACTGTGCAAACACATATTTCACATTATTATACAGAGTTAGCCTGTATTGCCTGTTAAAATGAAAACATTATGGTAAACCATTAATAGAAAATTCCCAGAGAAATGTTTTAAATGGAGATGAAGAACACAAGAAGCTGCTGCTCTGAAATACTAGTATCACAACTGGTTTTTGTTGGACAGCTTGACCTGTGTAAGTTATCAATCAGTGAGTGGTATTCAGAAAGTAAACTTCAGTTTCCTCAGCTTTTCAGATCCAGCAGTGACTCTGTATTTGCAGCCTGCAGTCTACCTTCTCCTGACTTTGTTTTGTTTCTTGTGGGCTCCTGTGACTCTTCCTGTTCTTCTGCCTCTTTAACAACAGCATTAGCTTCAATTCCTCTTCTGTCTTCCTGCTTCTTGGGAGTCTTGCTTTCTCACCCGACTCCTTCCTGCTTCTTCTTGGGAGTCTTGCTTTCTCACCCGACTCTTGTTCTCACACCTACCATTTTGTAGACTTGCTGAGTGTTGTATGTGAGGGCAAAGAGAGGTAAGCTCTGCTTTCCACTGTGTGTTTTAGATACTGGCATTTAGGTGAGGCTGCACATTTTGATTTACCACTATACCTCCATGTGTTTCCATTAGCTTATGAGTCATACCCTGTATGTACTGCAGGAGTCACACAGGCAGTTGGACTAGATGACTGTTGTAGGTCCCTTCCAACTGAACTATTCTATTCTATGTGGAGCTCAGACAGTAACACAACACAATGTTCTGTCCAGACATTAATAATTCTTTCATAAAGTTAGGCTGTTACTGTTCCCCGATCATTTCCAATGTGCATTTTACTGCTTTGCTGTATTTAACTGCTTTTTCATCTCAGACCTCAATTCCTTCCATCTTTCATTTCTGGGCTTAACTTCTACCTAGTGGAACATAAAGCAACATGAAGAAAACACTGGGACCGTTCCTTCTTCTTTAGTGAAGATGGGAATGAAATTGGAAACTGCAAAGAAATAGTTCCTGTGACAAGTGCCACTGAGTTCTCATGGAAGTCTTACTTTTTATGTGTAACCCTGTGGAAGGGCGGGGATATTCCACTTGATTCAATGTGGAACAAAGACAAGGGTGTAGAAATACATTAACAACACATTATTAGCCCCAAGGGGGGGGAACATGGCCTTCACCATAGAACTTGTGCTTCAGCCTCAGCTTCCCCAGTGTGACTGGCACCGTGAGCTGGCTGAATCCTGTGGAGCTCTCCGTGTGCCTGTGTCCCTGAGGTGTTCAACTGCGACAGCAGCATCAGCTCCACAGAAGCAAAACAGAAGAAGAGGCCCCTTCCCTGGAGATATTCAAGGTGAGGCTCGATGAGGCCCTGGGCAACCTGGTCTAGTTGGGGTGTCCCTGCTGACTGCGGGGAGGTTGGACCAAATGATCTTTGGAGGTCCCTTCTGGCCCAGACCATTCTATGATTCTATGAAAACCCCAAACTTCTATCCAGGATGCTCAGAACCACCACCACGAAAAGCCCTTGTGGTAGTGCCCCGCTCTGGAGCAAAACCCCCTCAACCTCAGCTGGGGGTGTCATGAAGAAATGTCAGGTTTTGCTCACCCCTGACCCACACCTTGGCCAGACGAGGCCTCAGCGTAGTGCAGCACGTCCCCCACTGCCCCCGGGGATGTCAGCCCGGGTGCTTGCACCGGAGCCCCCGAGGGCCTCAGCCTACATGGCCATGAAGGAACCTTGGGATTTGTTCACCCCTGACACGTCTCAGCCAGACGAGGCCTCAGTGAGGTGCAACATGGCCCCCACTGCCCACCTCCCCCGGGGATTTCAGACTATGACCTCAACCCTGAGAGCCCTCCATCAGCACCCCCTCTCCCTCAGAGCGGCCACAGGCAAGGCCCGGGGTGGGGAGGCCACTGCGCTCCCGCTCCCCTCACCCGCGGCCGCCGCCTCCCGCTCCCCTGCGAGGGGCAGAGGTGACGTCATGGGCGGTGGGAAAGAAGGGCGCGCGGGGGCCTGTGGGAGAAGAAGGGGGAGCCGCCATGTTGGGCGGGGCGGCGGGCGGGAGGGGAGCTGACATCCTCCTCCGGTCGCCTCCTCCCTCCCGCCCCGGGCTGCGCGGCCCCCGCCGCCTCAGCGAGCGCTGCGCACATCGCCCGAGCCTGCAGCACCGAGCGGTGAGCCGGGGGCGGGGGGGCGGCGGCGGGAGGGGTGGGTGTATGTGGGTGTGTGTGTGTGCGAGGGGGTGTGTACGTGTGGGGAAGAGGTTGTTTAATTTTATTTTCTATTTTATTTTGGCCTTTTTTTATCCGCCGTTACGCAAACAACAAAAGGCTGTGCGGGCCGGCTGGTCCCTCCGCAGCGCTGCTGACAGCCGGCCCCCTTGGGTGGGGTGGGTTTTTTTTGGGGACACACACACACACACACGACACGACATACACGAGGTTGTTTTTCGGTGTAAAGCTCTTGTCGGTTGCGGTCACCGGGAGGAGCGCTGGTGGTCACCGGGATCGGCTGGGCTTTGTGTCCCCCCCCCCCCCCCCGTTTCTCCCCTCCCGGCTGCCCTCGGTGCTGCGGCGGGGCCGGGCGCCGCCCAGGGAGGGAGCCCCGGCAGAGGCGGGTGAGGGCGGCTGCCGGCCTTCCCCCCCCACCCCAACCTCCTCCTCCTCCTCCTTCCGCGGCTCTCAGCTCCGCTCCGGGGGGCTGCGGCGCTTGGGTTGGACTTCACGTACTTGGCTTGGGTGGTTTATCCTTGTTACTGATTCGGAAACGGGGGAAAAGAAGAGGCGTGGGCAGCTCTTCCCTTGGGTTTTGCAAATAGTGGCCGGATTTATACAGTGTGGGTCACCTAGCATGCTGTAGTCGGAGATGATCCGGAGACTTAGGTTTTGGCCAGATTTCTACGCTTCTAAAAATAAGAAAAACGTTGATTAGGAACACGTTATTCTAGCAAAATGATGTGAATACATCACTGACTTAATTGATAACTGTATCTTTAGGGCAGAGATCAATTAGCAAGACTTGATTAGGAACACGTTATTCTAGCAAAATGACGTGAATGCATCACTGACTTAATTGATAACTGTATCTTTAGGGCAGAGATCAATTAGCAAGACACCTTAAAACCTTACTCATTCTGGCTTCATGTTTCTAATATTTTTAGGTAACAAGACGCCCGATTTGTAGATTTTTGTGATTACTTGTCTTAAATCACAAGAGCGAACTTCTTGACTCCTTATTGAATTCTGTGTTCTAAGCATATTGAAGCATATTTTAATGACCAAAGTAGCATCACCTGGTGTAATGCTATAGCCTGGCTTTTTGAAGGCTTCTAAATCAATGGTGGTGCTCTTTTGCTCTTTATTCTTTTTTTTTTTTTTTTGATTTCCATTAGCGTATATATATTTCAATGTAGCAGCAGTGCTCAAGTAGTGCTCATAACATGTTTCTAATATTTTTAGGTAACAAGACGCCCGATTTGTAGATTTTTGTGATTACTTGTCTTAAATCACAAGAGCGAACTTCTTGACTCCTTATTGAATTCTGTGTTCTAAGCATATTGAAGCATATTTTAATGACCAAAGTAGCATCACCTGGTGTAATGCTATAGTCTGGCTTTTTGAAGGCTTCTAAATCAATGGTGGTGCTCTTTATTCTGTCTTTTTTTTTTTTTCCCCGTTAATGATTTCCATTAGTGTATATGATTTAAGTGTAGCAGCAGTGCTCAAGTAGTGCTCATAAATAAAATAAAAGCAGCTAGAAAAAAGTGAAAGTTTGTTTTTATAGTTGCTTAGAACAGTAAAATGGTGAGCAAATATCATTCATCATATAAAATGCTTTCACAGTTACACATAAAGTGAAGACTATTAAAATGTAATTTTAGTATTCTCACAGTGGGCAGGGGGTTTAATAACAATTACTCTGTGAAGTAATTGTCTCTTTTACTTCCACTTTTGTATTTGCACTTCACTTAAAGAGGAAACCTGTGCCCAAAGGGTGTGCAATGGAAGTTAAAAAGGAACCTTCCAGATTTAGGCAGCTCAGCATTTTAATTAAAAAAAAATAATCAACCAAACCCAAACAAACAAAAAACCCAAACAAAACTAAAACCAATACCTTTTTGAATGCACAATTGATTTCAGACTCTTTTGGAAAATAGCTTTATTTTAATTGATTATGAATTCCAAAGCTTCAGCGAAACATGATAGAGGATATTACAGCCCTAGGATTATAGATACAATTGAAAGTAACACATTCAGCATTTACTGGCAGCAGAAAGAAAGCTGATCCATCTGGTGATTCTGAGCAGAAGACCTTGTATTTTGTAAGTCACTTGCACAATCATTTTTGTGAACACGTTGTTTAAGAGGACCTTTTTTGTGAAATTACAGCAGATAGGGGGATCTCTAGCAGTTCCATTTAGATATGCGTTTTATATAGTGTAGAACCATATGGGTAAATGCAGGGAATTTAAATTGTCACTTCCTGAAACTCGCTCAACAATGCAGTATCGCTTCTGCATCATGTTGCAGTTAAAGTTTGGCAGCCTTTCTGTTTCCGAAGGATGATGATGAAACTGGACAGTTCCAGTAATAAGAAATTCTAACAGCAGTTCAAGCTTAGGTTCCTTTCACTTTCTAATCAAAGAAAACATGCTGTCATATTTAATTAAAAAAGAGAATAAAGTTACGCTCCAAACGTCTCGTGAAATAGCTTCTTTTAGAGTTTGTCAAATTACTGTGAAAAGCTAACAGTGCCTTATTAATGGAAACTGATTTTTAAAAAGGTCTATGTTTGAAAAAAAATTGTTAAATTAAGTTTGCAGGAGTCTTCTGAATGGTTTTGACATGCAAGAATCAAAATGATACACATACTTAAGGCATATAAGAGCAATTGCTGCTTCCTCTGTTTATGAAGAACTTACCGTGATAATGTCAGAAACCCCTCACCTCTGCACTACTCTTATGCAGTATACATAGCTCTCTGTATATCTATATATGCGTATCTCTGTGTGTACACACATACCTACATGTGCCTCTTACTTAATTGGGAGTTTGGGGAAATATTGTAGCCTGGTATTCGGTTCTGAGTCCATTTAATGCAGCTTCTGTTTCTTGTGAGACATGAGTTTGTGCAATTACTCTTTCATCTCTTTCTCTGTTTGGCTTCTCTGGCAGACGTGCAGTTGGATTTATACTGGGATTAATAGCATCTCTTCAGATGCATAGTTTGTGATTATTTTAAAACAGAATTTGGTGTACAAATGCTTGCTAATGTTTTTATAAGAGGAGTGGAGAATAAGGAAATTTGAGTTTGTGCAATTACTCTTTCATCTCTTTCTCTGTTTGGCTTCTCTGGCAGACGTGCAGTTGGATTTATACTGGGATTAATAGCATCTCTTCAGATGCATAGTTTGTGATTATTTTAAAACAGAATTTGGTGTACAAATGCTTGCTAATGTTTTTATAAGAGGAGTGGAGAATAAGGAAATTCGGGTAAATTCATAGATAAGCAAAATATACTTCTGTGTTTAATGTTGGAGAGCATAATAGCAGATAGTGATGGGGACAAGCATGCTAGGTCTATTTAAATAAACACCTCTTATAGTCTGTCTGCCTCCAGGGTGTTGTCCAGTCTGACACAACTATCCTAAAAATGGACCAGTTCCATTATCATTGCAATGAAGTGGCTGGTCACAGGCTTTTCTTGTAATCCAGCCTGCGTAATACATTGTGTTTCCAGAGTATTTAAAAATTGCTTTATACTATTGTTTTATACACTGTGTTTATCTTGACCAAAGTTTAGAAAAACATTTCTTTTCAGTGTTAACTCTCACTTTCTTTAATACAAAATCATGACATATATAAGGCCTAATAGATACTTTGTGGTAACCAAGTACCAGTCAAAGACAGATTGTTCATTCTGAAAAGAAACCTTTTTTAACTTCAAAATAGAACTGATTATAATAGTTATATCCTGAGTCACAGTCGGCTTCAGGTATTTTTGAAGTATTAAGGCTTTCCCAGTAATTTCTTCAGTGAAATATTTTCCTTCAGCCTCCTGAAAGCAGGCTGCAGACATAAATGTGGTTCCTTTGAAAAATTACATAGTCAATAAATGCCTGACCAGAAAGAAGGTACATTTATGCTGGCTTAGATTTGCTGGGACGCTTTTGTTGCCTTCATTTTATGGGATTTAAATTGGGGACTTCGTTAGAGGGTCAGAGCCAGAATTACAGATGCTTTCAGTAATAGAGGAATTATTTCCGTAGGGTTCTGTGTGAGGTGCTTTGTAGGAGTCTGGCATAAGGTGACACTGTGCTTGGGTTTTTTTTTATGCTGGACAGTTAATATATTTAATAATGACAGGCCATAGCAAGTAGGCAAGCATGGGGACTGAGGATGTATGCTTCCAGTACCCGTGATGTATTTGGGAATGTGAAAAAAGGAGTTGTTCTCAAAGAACAAACACTAGAGGACAGTTGACACTGGATATGCTAATTTTGTAATGTTTAAAGAAAATTAATCTCTGATAGTTGTCTGTTTCTTGGGATTCAGTCAGCTAAGAAAACAGATGCAAGTAATAGTATCTGTGTGTTGATTTAATCACTGTTTGTCTCTTTGAATCCAGTTTATCTCCCACAGTCTCTACTATTTAACTCTTTTTAGTGCTATCACAGAGTCTTCACTCTGGAAGCTGTGTTTTGTCACGTATGTAGAATTAAATTGAATTTATTTTGTCAAATAACTATTGTTGGTCATCTGTTTTGCTCAAAATTAGGAAGCATGAGATTATATAATCTTCTATTTCAGATATGCTTTCCCTCTGTTGTCTGCTTAGATGTATAGATTTTTTATATAGTTTCTTAGTGTTAAGTCTTGCTTACAGGGAAAAGCAGTAAAATGTCTTTTGTAGGTAGACTTAAAAGTGATCAGTTTCCTATTTTGGTTCTTTTGTAAATATCTGATGTAAAAACCATTCGTCATATTAAGATTTGTTTCTGGGATTATGTCAGAACTACAGCTGATTTCATTAAATTTTAAAGTGAATAGAGCAAAGGATGTAACCAGTCTAGTCAATAGTACTGCCTTCCTTATCAGTAGGGTTGGGGTGATGGCTAATTATACTGTACATACTATCTGATGTACTCTTGCAAACCATTAAAAAAATTAATATG